AAATATTTTTTGAACTTCAGGATATGTGAGGTATCCTGGTTATTTTGTGGTGCTCCATCTTCAAGGCCAATGAATTCTTAAAAGGGAGGTATTATGCAAAATCGTCTTTTCTGAGCTTTATATCATGTTATAATGTCATACCCTCATCACAAACACACACAGAATGTTGCTGAGCACCCCTCCCCCGAGGCATTGTTGTGAAAAAGGGCTGAAGTGGGAGCGTCTGAAACAGTAGGAGGTTCCTAAAGATGTTAATTTTAAGATGTTTGGACTATGATGTGAAGTCAAATGTATGTTTGATATATACAGCAATTTCAAAACACACACACACACACTTAAAAAAAATTAAGAACTCATTGGCACCCCACCCCCCATCCCGACATCTCACTGCACCCCCCTGCATGTGGCCGCGCTCCACTATTTGAGAAGTGCTGGCCTGACCCGTTTTCTGGCAAATATAGCCAATGAGGTGAATTTGTTTGGCGCATGACAAAATCTTCCAATATTTCAGGCTGGAGTGTGTTATCGTCTTCTACTTTTATAGCACAATTACTCGGATTTTTCCACACCTGAGGTTCTACACCGCTCTGATTCCACTGTATTTGTTTACTGAGACTAGCTAGGGCCAGCCTAATGTGGGTCAATCAGGATTCAAGCTTCCATGTTGATTTGACGGATTYAGCAGAGTGCATTGTTTACATTGAGAGCAAACCTGCATTTCAGTGTTGCGTGTCAATATCCCTGAAAAAGAACTGGAATTAACTTTTTCAAACAACACCTGCATACAGTTTAGATCATCTTTGGTATGTTTAATTTCAGACTGGAATGCGTACTTTTTAACTAACASTTTGCTGCCTTCAGTACAAGCACATTCTTGCTACTGAAACAAATTGGTCAGACATTAATAACAGAACYCATAAGTGAGATGTCATCACAAGTGCCTTTTAATTGCTTTTTTTTTCTCATGTTTGAGTTCGTGGAGGGGATTTGGCATCATTCAGGCTCAGTGTTCAGCAARGAAGACATTTTGTTGAGGTACAATCTCTGCGCACTGCTAATCCCCAAATTATTAGGCACACATCCTTGGCTTTATGCTTCGGAGGCAGAGGCTGCATATCATCAAATTAAATCAACCTGAAAATAATCCTCTCATTTTTATTTAACTGTTTATGGAACCTAATCCAGATCTCAGCCAWATCAGGTCAACGTGAGACGCGTCTTAAGCCACTCACTACAATCAACGCCGGTTCTTGTGCTACAACAACATTCATCTAACTTGAGCAGCTGATTTGTGAAATAATAAATAATTCAACACTGCAGAATATATATTTACATTCTAGGAAAATGTCTGGCTGTTCATGTTTTATAATTAGATACTTAACATGCCATGCAGCTTTCTCCCACGACTACATGATCTGCAACAATGCATAGATGGATTTCCCGGTTAAAAAGCATGTCCTGTGTCAATATGACTTGTAAATTGTGCTGGTTGACAGCTCCTGTCATGTTTCACGTCATACATCGGACTGACGGGTCGGACCTGTCAGTCGATGTACTGCGACAGCCACCGGAAACCTTCCCCGTAGCCTTGTCTCTTCAACACGCTGCACATGAATATCTCCAGAGGGCGAACATTCAGCTGCTTCACAGAAACGTTCCCCTGTCGAGGACAGTCAGGATGAATAAAGCGTGCAGCACGTGAGCCCGCGCGSTTCTGCGACGTGATTACCTTTCCGGTGACTTGACCATCCAGACAAAAAATTCCTCTCAGCGCTCCTTCACTGACGGCCTCTGGACGGTCGATTTTATTCCCCAGTACCAATACGGGTACGCTGGCGATGGTTTCATCTGAAAGGAGAGCCTTAAAAAAATGATGGTTTGTCAGCTTCTTTCCAGCAAATACACTAAAAAATGACAAAGATAGTCGAAGACGGCTAGCCAACAACAGTAGAGACAAGTTTCATTCTATAACCAGGTATGCAGTGAACACCTAAGTATTGACTGATGAATATGTTTTATTTTTTTTATGACAGG